ATGTGTGCATGTGTGTACACAGATGTGCACGTGTTCACACGTAACCATGTGTAGGGGACTCGGACACCCCCAGGACGAGCCTCCTGCCCCACGAGGGGCCGGAAGGGAGCAACAGACCACAAAAGGACGCCCCATGAGACACTGTGCCAACAGAGTGTTGGGGACTGCAGCAAGGACCCCCCACACAAGTGCAGAGCTCCAGGGGCGGGGGGACGGCCCCTCACCCCGGGCGTCACCCTTACTTGATGGAGTGGTTCCAGAACACGCAGACGGGCTTGGTGCGCTCCTCGGTCTCCAGCAGGACGTGCTCCACCAGGACGGGCCTCTCCAGGGGGCTGGGGAGGGCAGCCCCCTCGCTGTACACCGCGGCGCTCACCACCGGCGTGTTAATGACCGGCCGGTTAGGCAGCCTGGGGCGGAGAAGCGAGACCAGGGGGAAAGGCGCGCTTAGAAGACACGGGTCTCAAGCCCGGGCGCTGCCGCCGGGAGCACGCAGCGCAGACGTCTCTCCAGCAGGCCCGGAGCCCAGCCGCTGCCCCCGAGAAGCGCCCCGGCCGTGGCGGCGGTTCCACGGCTGCCGGCACCGGTCACCTCGGCGCCAAAGGCGGACTTGGGAAATTTAAAAGGAAGAGAAGGAAGGCAGGTCGCCGCCGGTCACACACAGCTGCGGACAGCCTGGAAACCACTGGAGGGTACAGTAAACACAGCTCGCGGCCGAATCTCACGCAGCCACGAAGGAGGAACTTGAAGACCACAGGCCCAGGGACGGGTGTGGAAAGGGATTCGCAGGTTGACCAGTGAAGCCCCGGTGGGCGCCCACCTCTGCGCCCACCTCTGCTGGGGCCACGAAGCCCGAGGGCAGCTCTCGTTTCTCTGGCCAGTGCTAACCTGGCAGCTAGTGGGGCCGCCGGCCGCCCGAGGCGCACAGATGTGGGACAGGCGTGGGACAGGTGTGGGGGGCGGCCCCTCGGCGCGGGAATGACACCGCTGGGCCCCATGCGGTGACAGGGCCTATGGAGGCCGAGCAGGGCGTGTGCTGGGGAGGGGGCTGCCGGGCAGCAACACCAGGGAAGGGCCCGCCTGGACGCCCAGAACCTTCCAAGGGAGCTCTCAGGGAGGTGGTCTGCGGCCGTGGGCCTGGCTCACGGGGAACGTCCTCACACGGATGCTCGGGCGCTGGAGGCTGTGACCTGGGAAAGCCCCTCGGAATGCTCCGGAAACAGGCCTTACCGGAGGCTGCGGCGGTCGGGGTCATAGTGCTCGGGCAGGAGCTGCCCCAGCATCCGGTAGATGATGACGAGGGCGACGGCGAACTGGCCGGGCTCGTCGGGGTGCCTCTTCTGCCTCCTGAACAGGGCCTCCCTCTCGGCGCCGGGCTCCAGGCGCGCCGTCTGCGGGGCGGCCTTCCGACCGGCCGGCCTCACCATGGGGCTCTCTGCAATGCAAGCAGAGCGTGAGCAAGGGGCCTGCGTTCCCAGCAATCCGCTTCCTACGGGAACAAGTGCCTCCTGAAATCACAGATGCTCTGTGGGGCCCCGACAGATTAAACACGGAGCCCCCACACAACCGCAGCATAGCGGCTTCCAGAGGCTGGGGGCGGGGATGGGGCACAGACTGTCAGTCCTGGGGACGATGGTGGGGGTGCCTGCGCAACCCTGTGGACGGACCTAACGTTACTGAACTCCGCCCCAGAGTGGTCAGGATGGTGCCGCTTAGGCGCGTCTCGGCACAATTCGGGGAAAAGCAACAGCTATTAGGGGCTGACCGGCCGATTCCAACACCCCAGGCAGCACGCAGGAGGGACAGGGGACCGCTCAAGTGGGTTTGTGCCCCATGTTTCGATTCCGTGTGAATCGTGGGTGTATTTGAAGTTGTACGCGCCCTAGGGATGCAAGAAGCTGGGTACGGCCCTCGTAAATACGTCAGTACACATATTTTGGGGTGTAGATGCTCACACTATCTTGCAACTGACCGGGGTTGGAACCTTCCCCAGTCCCTGTGTCCACACAGGGTTACAGGAGGGGCTATCAGTCCTCCCCGTCCCACCAGCAGAGGGACACTCTCCTCCGATGCCCCGTTAACCTGGCCACACTCGCCCACGTTCTCAAGAACCGACAAAATGCTCGAGAAATGCTTGCCCAAAAGTCACCTCTGCAAATACCCAGACCACTTGGTGCCGAGCACGGCTTGCTGAACTTGGGCTCCAGGGAGGGCTGAGCCCTGAGGGCCGGGGGTTCTGGGAGGGGCAGGGCCTGGGAGACGAGCCTGCGGAGGGGCTGTGAGGTGCGGCGGGGGCGGGACACTGGACACTGAAAGGCCCCAGCTCAGAACAGCTCACCGGTCCCGGCAAAATGCCGTGTGACCAACCGGTGTCTTCCCCTCTGAGGCGGGCACGCGCACCTTCAACGTCCTCCTGACCCTGCTCAGGGTTGACCGATGACTGGTCAACAACACTGCTCAGCCACACTCAGGCCGGTCAGCGAGCCACCCCCAGCTTCTCCTCCGGGGGGAGGCAGTGCAGGCTGTGGGCTTTCCTGCGTGAGAGGGCCAGGTGCTGCCCCAGGCCGGGCAACCCTGCCCGGGCCTCCGCTCATGGGCCAGACGCCACCCAAGGGCTCAGACGTGACCTGGATGGAAGCAACTATCTCCACACAGCAAGGACATTTACGGGTTCTTCGCTCCTGGACGACCCCACAGAGTGGGGGCCAAATAAGGTGCTGACTCAGTCCCCCCGGGTCCTGCCGCCTCTCATCTGCTTGCTCTGGAAGCGGGAGATGGTCTGACTCCCAGCGGTCGCTCGCCAGGGCTCCTCCTCCAGCAGGGCCACCTACTCCGGGCAGCCCACAAGCTTGCCTGCCATGTGATGAGTCAGGTGTTTGGGGAAATTGGAGGGGGAGGGGGTCACCGAAGGCCGGGGGCTGAGTCTTCGCATCAGTAAAAGAACGGGCGGGGTTTACCCCGTGGTGATACTTCTAGCTAACTGACAAGTTGAATGAAGCACCATGTACAGGGCCGAGGGAAGCACCAGAAGCTTCTCTCATGGGATCTTCTAAAGCAAATGAGACTCCAGTGCGTCCATTCCTGGTGCCTCGGGCTCAGAGAGGACCAGGGGTCAGTTCAGAAGCAGAAGCACGGACAATGTTTCTAGGTCAGGGTAAGAGGCAACGTTTGCAGGGACGGCACATACATCATTGCTGACAGTGGCTGTGAACACGGCTGAATGTGCTGGAAACCCAGATCGGCCCCAAATCACAGTTTGAAAGACAGGTCCCAGTGGATCCCACATCGGAGTAAAATCCTCTTTAAAAGGTTCTGAATAATAATGCCACGTGGCTGACAAAACTAACTTACTAAAAACGTTTCAAATTTTAAATTGTCCATTATAGAATTTTACGTTTTCAAGTCACCATTATCTTGAGATGTTTTCAGTAGCTGGAGTGGATCTGTGAAAAATATACTTTAAGAAATTACAGGGGTGCCTGGGTGGCTCAGTCATTAAGCGTCTGCCTTCGGCTCAGGTCATGATCCCAGGGTCCTGGGATCGAGCCCCGCATCGGGCTCCCTGCTCAGCGGAAGCCTGCTTCTTCCCCTCCCCCCTCCTCGTGCTCTCTCTCTCGCTCTCTCTCTTTCTCAAATAAATAAATAAAATCTTAAAAAAAAAGAAAATTCCAAATGTTTAAGCCATTTGGTAATATAATCCTAACCCAGGACTGAAGAACCGGCTTGTTTTCGGGGTTGGGGGTGGATTCTCAAATTTTACCCACACACAGAGACAGCTTCCCCCGCCGCCCAGTGGGAAAGACTAGCGCACACGTGCTTTAAGCGCTCTCTCGTTCGTCATGCCACGAGTTAGCCAAGTTCCCGCAAGAAATGCCCCAGCACAGCGGTGGGGTCTGACGTCAGCTAACGCCCCGCGGCTGGCCCCGTTTTCAGGGCACGCATGTGACGTGCACCCACACAACATGCTCTCTACTAAGAACCGTGTTGTTTCTTCTTACAGGACCCTCGGAGGGCCCCCCGCCCCCCTGACCGGTGGGGCTCCCAAGGGCAGCCGTGCTGTCTATGGGGCTTCACCTTTGCGCTCCGGTGGTTTGAAGAAGTCAGCCGAGAAGAACACCGAGGACTCCAACTCCTTGGGGAACTCGTCGCGAATGTCCTCGAATCGCGGCACCCTGGCTCCCGTGAAGTTGAACGTGTCGAAGATGTCGACGGCCAGAACTGTGGGGACAGGTCCCCCTTGTCATCCATCCCCCAGCTCCTCCCACCGAGAGCCTCCTCCATCGGCACCACCATGTCCAAACCGACCACAGCCACCGCCCTGACCAACAACACCCTTCCTAACAGAACCGACTTCTACTTTGCCGCGCTCCCCGGACCCGCCGAGAGTCACACGGCGCAAGTGCTGAGTGTGAAGTGAGACATCACGGCGGCATTGGGGACGGTCCGGCCGGGGTATGAGAGAGAGAAGGCCAGACAAGCAGTAATCCGCTCCCTGTCCGGCAGAGCAGAGCCCGAGCAGACACTCGGACCCAAGGGGCTCCTGACTCCTGCTGGTTCTCGGAGGCTTCGGGCACCTACCTCTGTTGGCGCTGACCGCCACTGCTCTGAGGGGCCTGGTGACGGAGAGGCCAACAGTCACCCCTGCATGCCCCAGGGTCACCCCCCAAAGTCCTCCCACTGAGCTGACTGGTTCAACACCCCCCCCCAGTAGGAAGGGTGCCCACAAGCTGCCTATACGGGCAAGGGCCGGGCTCCCACCCCAAGCTGCTGGGTGGTCGGGGATGGGTGAGAGCCCTGGAGCCGGGGACAGGACACGGGAGGACAGACGGGGCGCCCGGGGCAGGACGGATGCTCCCGGTCACAGAGCTTCAGGGACAACACCAGAGAGGCTGTGGGCAGAGGCCGGCAGGACACTTGGAACTGCCTGAATGCTCCAGAAGGGCCTGGGGCGCACGCTGCACCATGTCCGAGTCCTGTCCAGCCCTGAGGCCAGCTCCGCAGGCCCTCCTCCAGGACAGGAGCAGGAACGCCCAGCACGCTCATCCTTCTTTCCTGTCCCCAGTGATGACGGGGCCCTGAGCCCACCTCCACCCTGGCACAGGGCAGGCCCAGTCGGGGGCTCCAGAAGGGCCCAGGCGCAGACTGCCCGAACATCTCTGGCCTGCACGGGAGGCCGCAGGGGTCACGTGAGGGTCGCCACTTTAGGTTATGGCTCGGGCCCCTCTGGTGATGGGTATGCATGAAGCAATCGCCCAGTGCTGCCTGAGCATCCCCCACCTGGGTGCCTAATAAACATTTGCAAGAGGAGAAAGCGAGGGCCCTCACCTGTAGGAGGGGCCCACCCCCACCCAGGTACTTGGCCGGCTCTGTCTGGATGGGTGGGGTAGGGGCTGGTTCTACCATCTGGGGCTTTCTCCCCCTGAAGGAACCTGATCCTTTAAACCCCTGGACCTCAGGGTGGCACCTCCTGGGCACTAGGGGTGACTTGGTTCACAAGGTATCTGCTCTGTTTGATCTTCAGCCCCTGACTCAGGGAGGGCAGACATCCCCCTGCTGCCCAGGTCCCTTGTCCTTCCCTGGGGTCTGCGCCTCTTCCAGTGAGCCTGGAGGGCTGGACCTGCAGCCAGACCCCGGGCCTGCTCCCCTGGACAGTCTCACACCCACGGCCTGAGAGGCCTGCAGACCTCCGAGGGTGAACCAGCAGCTCTTCCTCTGATCTGCCCCCGATTCCCTGGGCCTGGGAGTGATGTGTGGGTTTCCTTGGTTCAGCTCTGAAAGGCTGGACAAGGAGGGTCCTGTCTCCCTATTTGCAGACAAGGAACCAGAGGCCAGAGCTGGTGACCCTCTCCTAAAGACGGCCCAGCAGGGGCCACCCCCCAGACAGGCCCCAGGGGTCCGGCCCCCCAGCCAGCCGGCCCGCGGCCCTTACTCATGTTGGCCGTGACGATGACGAAGGGCCTCAGGTAGGTCCTCCTCACGTTGCGCACCACGTTGCTGAAGTAGGCCTCGAAGCCCCTCAGCAGCTGCACCGCACCCCCCTCGCTCCGCTGGATCTGCTCCCACGCGGCCTGTGTGTCCGGGGCCAGGAGCGCACTGCCCGTGCGGACGACGTCCTGCTCAGACAGACAGACAGACGGCGCTCAGCGGGTGAGTGAGGCCGGCCCGAGGAGGCTGAGCCAACGCGGCAGGGGGCGCGCCAGGCTCTGGAGAGCCTCTAGTGCCCCGAGACGTGGCTGGGCAGGGTCAGACAGGGGGCCAGGTCCTTGGTGGCAGGCCCGCGTCAGGGAGAGGCTCTGCTAGGGGCTCCCCACATACACTCGAGACGCAAAGGGCAGAAGGCACATGGAGGGCCCTTGGTTACGTCAGAACCCCAACCCCACTGCCACCCCCCGCTGACCAGGTAGGGACTCAGCCCAAGGACACACTGTGGGCTACCCCGTGGTGACATGCCTGACCCCCCAACCCACACGTCTCAGACTGTATGTGAACCAGGCTATTGGCAGGGGCTCCAACATGGAAACCAGGACGGGAATGTCTGCTTGCAAAGAATCCAAAATGGCAACAAACTCCATCGGCCCAAACTCAGGCCTGGATGGAAATGCAATCGAAGGGACTCTGCCTCGGTGTGATGGAGGGGTTCCCTGGGGGTCTGGGGTCTGTGTGGATGGAGGGGTTTCCTGGAGGTCTGTGTACATAGAGAGGTCCTGGGGGTCTCTGTGTGGATGGGGAGGGTCCCTGGGGGTCTCTATGTGGATGGGGAGG